CCCCCCCCCTTCCAAGATTCAAACCTTTGACTCAATGGAGAATTATTTCCACTTTCCACCAATACTTCATCATAAACATTCCAAAAACAACATTCAACTTGGTTTATTTTAGTCTGAGTTAAAGAAAAAAAAACCCCAGAACATCGACACAATAACGGACATTTATGGCTAGGAAAGAGCAAGGCAGGGACACCTCAGGGAAAGAAAAGAAGCGCAAGATTAATTACCAGGGGCACCCCCTCAACCTCCCGTTCCTGTGGTGATTTTTGATTGATTGAGTAGATGTTTTACGGCACTATTGACTCAATGCTCCTGTGGCGAAACGGCTCGACTTTTCGCCAAGCACGCAGAAGAAATGAGTTTGACTCCTCTTTGGGGACATGAAGATAAGTCGATTTTATTTAACAATCTATTGTTGTTCCAAAATTATTTTTTTTCTGCAATATGATACCGTACAGAGCCTGCCGCGTACAGTACCTAAATTATGTCGAAGCTGGCGTAAAACGTTTGCAATTAATTTAATTAAAATCACGAAGACCAAACTCAGCGATAATTGAAGGAAGAGTCACACCCATCTCAATTTCCTGCCATCTCCCAGGGTGCGATATACAACAACACAATGCCTTCTATTTATTATCAATCACCGGGGGGTAAACTAGCCACCACAGCGTCGCAGCACAGACCAGTGGGTGGGGCGGGTCAAGCTAAGGCCAAGGACACAGGCACTCCAAAACAAAAGAAAAAAAAGAAAGAGAGAGGAATACACATTCATTCGTTCAGTCGAATCATATCGATCAGACCAGGACTGACACTCTACATTAATTATTGAGAATGTATACATAAGACTTATGACTGTAAATTGTAACATTATAATCAACATCATCATCATCATCATCATCATCATCATCATCATCATCGTTGCTGTAAGTGCAGTAAGAAAAAAAACAACTAAAAGTTGATCGAGACTTCAGTTTGTCAAGTTTTGACATTATAGAATAATTATGTTCAACATTTCGTTCTATATCATAATCGTCATCATCCACCCTCATCATCACAACGACGTATCGGTGGCACCTTAGAATCAGCAGGCTTGGAATGGATTTCACTACCTTAACAAATTCTGCAAAATCTGACCGGAGAGCACTCTGCTTTCTAGTCCAGTGAGGAAATAAGGTGTCAGTGAGGCAAGCGGTCAGAAGGTTGGGGGTGACAAAATAAAATGGACAACACAAGAAATTACGTCGCCCGTTGCGGAAATAAATAACGCTGGGAGATGACCAAGGGAGGGAGGGAGAGAGAGAGGGGGAGAGAGAGAGAG